AATAATTTTTAAATATTATGTAAGAAAAATTTAAAGATACTTGGATCTGAGAATGGTCTGACTTAGCCCGTAGGCCCCTTTCTTGCCAGAGCAGGACCAACCATAAGGTGATCCAGAGTGAGAGAAAACAAAGACAAAAGTCAGTGCTAGGCTGCCACAGAAAGATATGTTGAACACAGTAAACGACTGCACACCCCTAGCAGTAAATGAAATACAGAATAACACAAGACAGAAAAAAGGGTGCGCCTCAAAAGAAATGATGAAAGTATTAATAATAGTGCAGATAACTTATCATATATCCAGAGTGATATTATCCACGCTTTTAGGGAGGACTCTTGGAATATAAAATGGAGCAAGTCTTCACGGATATATACTTGAAATTCGGTGAAGCATATGCGGAAAGAAAACAAGAACAAGGGTACAGTATATAGGCGAATTAAAATTATAAAATAGTAGTAAACAGTATTACTCACACTTTGCAGAGCTAAAATCCAGCTCTGGTATTGGATGCAGTGGAATAATCCCCACTCAATGATATGTGAAGTGGCGCTGGTTGGCAGATATATGGCACGAGTCCGAAGTCCAGTGTTAGTATGGTCCAACCCAGAAGTAAAAAGAGTAAAATACAGTGCTCTCTGTTTTATGAATAAAATTTTTTAAGAAATATAAAAAATTTTACTCACAATATTTAGAGCAGGCTTATACTGCTCGATGTAAGCGTATGGGTGGTATAATCCCCACCTACGGATTCTTAATGCTTCTTTATAGAGTGCTGGGATGCGGGCGGCTGTGTTAGCATCAGAAGCGACGAGGGAGCTGTGATCTCCCTGCTCTGCTCCCTCGCACCTCACAGGCCATCTACATATTCCAACAGGGCAGTAAAATCATAGCTCCCTCACCACCTCTGATGCTCGCCCGCCAGAGAGTCCATAAGATGGCCAGCATGCCAACTCTTGAACCTCCCCCCCATGACTGGGGAAACACCGGGGAAGCCCGAGTAGGTGTTTGAGGACCTCTGGGGACGCTGAGACACTTGGGGACACTTGGAGACACGAGGATACTGACACACATGGGGAAACTGAGACATGGGGACACAGATACACATGGGGACACTAGGGGACACTGAGACATGGGGACACTGAGACACTAGGGGACACTGAGACCTGGGAACATTGATACACTAGGGGATGCTGGGATACATGGGAACACATACACACATGGGGACACTTGAGGACAAAGACATACATGGGGACACTGAGACACTTGGGGACACTGGGAGACATGGGGACACTGAGACACTAGGGACACAATGTCCCCAAGTGTCTCAGTGTCCCCATGTCTCCCAACCAGTGTCCCTGGTATCTCAGTGTCCCCATGTATCCCAGTGTCTCAGTGTCCCTAGTGTCTCAGTGTCCCCAAGTGTCCCCATGTGTCTGTGTCCCCAAGTGTCTGTGTCCCTATGTCTCCCAGCGTCCCATAGTGTCTCAGTGTTCCTATGTCTCTCAGTATCCCCTAGTGCAGCGATGGCGAACCTATGGCATGTGTGTCACAGCTGGCACTCCAAGCCCTCTCTGTGGGCACGCGGCCATAGGTCACCGGTAGGGTGCCAACGGTGGATTCACCGCAAGGCTAACAAGGCATTTTCCTTGGGCGGCACTGCTCTGTTAGCCTCGTGTCTTGGGGGGCCCAATGCTGGCCAGCTGGCCACCTTTGGATCCCCCATGAGGCGGCCTGCAGCTTCTATTGCAGGCTTGCGGTGAGGGGGTGCTGTAGCCTGAGCTCTTATTGCTCAACTCCCTTGCGTGCTGCTTAGTGATGCCAGGACCAGGGATATGACGCCAGACCGGCTCCCAGCATCACTAGGCGGCGAGCGAGGAAGCTGAGCAGTAAGATCAGTAAGATCAGAACTCCCTCGCCATCTACTCTGCCAGTTCGCCCCCTGCCTGCCTGTCCAGCAGCACAATCAGCTTTCCCACGGAGGCTGGGCGGATTTAAATTAAATTTTTAAAAAATAATAATAATATTAATTTCTGAGTGTTGGGGGAAATGTGTATGAGTGTATGTCTGTCAGTTAATGTGTGTGTGTGTGTGTGTATGTATGTATGTCAGTGTGTTTGTCTGTGAGTGTGTGTGTCTGTGAGTGTGAGTATGAGTGTGTGTGTGTGTGTGTGTGTCTGTCAGCCACTGTGTGTCTGTCAGTGAGTGTGTGAGTGTGTCTGTGAGTGTCAGTGTGTATATGTGAGTGTATGTGTATCTGTGAGTGTCTGTGTATCTGTGAGTGTCAGTGTATCTGTGAGTATGTGTGTGTCAGTGTGTGTGTGTGTGTATCTGTGAGTGTCTGTGTATCTGTGAGAGTCAGTGTGTATAATTGTCATGTTTAATTGCCGTGTTGGCACTTTGAGTAAAAAAAGTTGATTTGTATTGCGGTTTGGCCACTTGGTTTTAAAAATGTTCGCCATCACTGCCCTTGTGTCTCTGTGCCCATGTCTCCCAGTGTCCCTAGTGTCTCAGTGTCCCCATGTCTCCCAATATCCCCATTGTCTCTGTTTGCTAATGTCTCCCAGTGTCCCTAGTGTCTCAGTGTCCACATGTCTCCCAGTGTCCCTAGTGTTTCAGTGTCCCCATGTCTCCCAGTATCCCCATGTCTCCCAGTGTCAGTGTCCCCATGTCTCCCAGTGTCCCCATGTCATCCAGCGTCCCCAAGTGTCTCTGTGTCCCCATTTCTCCCAGTGTCCATAAGTGTCTCAGTATTCCCATGTCTCTCGGTGTCGCATAGTGACATGGTGACACTGGGAAACATGGGGACACAGACACTAGGGGACACTGGGCGACATGGGGACACAGAGACATGGGAGCAATCCATCTATACAGCAGAATCAAACTGTAAGTAGTTTTTTGGTGATTTTACTCCTCGTAATTTATCATGTTATGTCACACATACATAATTAGTTATGCAAATTAGTAAGGCCGGTATTTTTTTCCAAGAAATTTGGCAACCCTAACTACTCTTCACATACTCTTGCTTAAGTATGGAAACTTAAGAGGGATATATGGAAACAAAACTTATGTGGACAAGCTGAAATTAACTTAGTTAAGGTAATGCTGGCTTTGGTCTCTCTAACACGGTGGCATGTTCCCTTTCTTCTACACTCACTACATCCACCTTTTCTCTGTCTCAGACTCTATACCAGGAGCTTCTGCCTGCTATTAAGAAGGAAAGGAGACAAGTGGACATGTGAGTGCTAGGTGCCAGGCTAGCCTTCCAATTCTTTGGGCAGACACGCCTCCTTTTTGGGCATGTTCGTCCCTTTAGGGAGTTCTGGCTACATGATCCGCGTCAGTGGCCCACCCTTTTACACAGCCCATTGACTTCCTGCTTAACTGGACACTGCTGTTAGGGGGTATGGATTTACTTGAAAGATGAAAGCATGAATTAGAAAGAGATTAGCATATTTTAAGAGAATCTGAGTTTTCTTATAGCTGCATCCTATGAGTTTCCCTCCGGCAACATCTCCACCAGATACATAACGCTTGAGAGGTAGGACTGTTTTAGTGTTTTTGGTCGATAAGATTCTGTACTTAGGCCCCTCCTAACGGTCATCACCAGGCCCATTGGGCTCTTAATCTGGCCCTGGCCTGTCCTCACAAGAACAAAAGTTACTAAACAAAATTACACTGGTAGTGAGACGAGCAATAGTTCAGACATGGCTCAAAATGAAAACACCTACACTATACAATGTAATATTTAAAATAAAGGACAATTATCTTATGGATAAGTGGGCCGCTCAGGTATGTAACACAGAGTCAGTATTTCTTAAGTTATAACAGCCCTGGGTGGACTATAACTCAATACTGGTCTGACACACCAATGGCACGCCTTCCCACTCGTAGAGAGGATACTCCCCCCTTCTCCTTTTTTTCTGTTTCAAAAAGTTAAATCTTCAAGTCATGGGGACTGAACCAAATATGGAGATGTATAATAAATAGTACCCATTAGTTCTTGTATTCAAAGATGTGGAACTGGAGGGAACTGAAGGGTTAACTGGTGAGTTCTTAGATAGAGTATTAATAAAATTCGGATTTCAAAGTCCCTTTAAGGACAAAATTATGTCATTATAATCAGAACCATGTGAAAAAATTATAAATCCCCTTTCTGAATCTGCCATATTTCCAATAGATAATGGTACAAGGCAAGGATGCCCATTGGCTTTATTATTAATTATTATGTTCATCGGACTAATGGCCATCATGATTAGGGAAAATAAGGAAATATATGGGATCCAATCGGCTGATAGAGACTATAAATTATCTCTGTTCACTGATGATGTGCTTCTGTCCCTGGTGAGGCGCTTAACTTCAATCCCAGATGTTTTGAAAGCCATTGAATTATATGGAAACTTTTCTAATTATAAAATAAATTTAAAGAAAACTCAAATCTTGGTGTCAAACATAGACAAGGCTGAATTATTTTTCCTTAAATCCAACTTTCATTTTAATTGGAACCGTGATTCCATTGAATATCTAGGTATCAAATTATCCTTTAATATTTCAAATATGATACAGCATACTTATGAAGATCTATTTAGTTCAACTATATAAACAATTGGGGGCGGGGCGTGACAGCCAAGATGGCAAGACATGTCTGTTGATGGCTCCTGCTGAATCTGCAGTAAAACGGGTGAAATATCACGGTAAAACTAGTGGGACACGACTCTAGGAAACCCGGGGATCACCCCCGACTACAATCTTAGCCTGAAATCGGGTGCCCTGATGGAAGCACATTACACCTCAGCCTATGGCCTGCAGCAGCCGACGACCCGGCTGCGGGGGGAAATGGCCGATCTCCCGGCTCCGGGCTCAGGTCTGCCAAAGGAGCTTGAGCAGCCCTGTTCCCCTCCTTTGAACCGGTGGGGGATATCCCGGTCCCCGATGGGCACACCTACACCTTGGCAAGCCCGACAACGCAACTCAGTGTTACTGAAACCACATGCTCCCCAAAAATGGCGGACGCACTGCACCCTCGGCAACCACATGCGAGCCTCACTGGCCTGTCATGGAGGGAGACCTTCGAGGCTAACTTCAAGAGGGTCTGTCAGTCATTCTGGCTCCGTTTACAAGCATGGGTACACCAGACAACCTCCCACATTTCCCCCAGGAGCCTGGCGGCAATGGAGACTGCCCTCCCTTCACCAGGGTGGAGGGCCCATTCAGAGATGAAGCCAGCCCGACGCCCTCAAGCTAAAGGGTCTCTCCTTGAAGCGTCTCCCAAGTCAGACCCACAATGAGACAAAGCAGCGCCACAAGCAAACGGGTGGGACCTGGATGCAAAGTGGGAGATGAGGAGCCAAAGGCAGGAGCCTCCACGGCAGCACCGGTCTTGGCGACCTGATCCAGATGGGAGCCAGAAGCTGCCTGAGATACAGCTCCTAATGGGGCACTTCAGCACCCACGACACACACCCTCATGTCTTGACCACTCGTGTCTTGTCGTCAGCACATTGTCTGAATAACTGCCACACTCCTTGGAGCTGGCTTTGGTGTGCTCGGTCCCTGGGTGCGGTGGACAGTAGCAGGCGTACCGTCTAGGGGATGGCCACTCCACTTTTGCACCCTGCTCCCTCTTATGCTGTGCTGGTGCCTCTGTGCGACCACTGCCTCTTCCTCGAAACTGGACACGTCACTCGCATGACCTTCATTCCATGTGGGGTCTAGGACCTCATCATCCTCCACATCATCTTCCACCCACTCCTCAACCCTGCCCTCCTTGCTGGTCTGCACATTGCAGAAAGCCTCGGCAGTTGGCACCTGTGTTTCGTCATCATCAGAGATGTGCAGCGGTGGTCCTTGCATGTCCACATCCTCACACATAAGTGGTTGTGTATCAGTGCACTCAATCCCTTCCACTTCTGGGGCAGGGCTAGGTGGATGGCCAATGGAAACCCCGCCAGCAGAGTCATCAAAAAGCATAAGAGACTGCTGCATGACTTGTGGCTCAGACTGCTTGGGTGATTTGCAAGGGGGTGAAGTGATAGACAGATGGCCATGGGCTGCAGGTGCCAACTCTGAGCTTTCAGCCGGGCACCGGGTGGGAGACAATGTGCAGGAACTGGAGGCACTGTCAGCCATCCAATCTACTATCGCCTGGACTTGTTCTGGCCTCACCATTCGTAGAGCGGTATTTAGGCCTACCAAATAACGCTGAAAATTCTGTTGCATACTCGCACATGAGGAAGGTGTTTCACGTGTATGTAGCTGGCACAGATCGACCACGTCCTATCCTTGCAACAGGGATTCCACCAACACCAGAAGCACCACGACCAGGGCCACGTCCCTTATTTGACGCTCTCCTCATTCTTTGCGTTCACCCACCAAACTAACAGATGTTTTATGTCAGGCGACAATGTAACCGCCAACAGTCAACAATTTTTTTTTTTAGTTTATTGGACTGCAAGAAATGCAACGCAGGCCACAAATGTACTATTTCGCACCCAAAAAATTATAATTTTTGAAAGTGCAATGTAACCACACTATTAGACGCTTTGATTTGACTCTTAGATATGAAGTGCAGTCCGCAAATGTACTATTTAGCAGATTAGCACCCAGAAAATAAGAATTTTTACAACTGCGCTGTAAGCGCACAATTTGAAACTTCTATTTGACTCGCAGATATGAAGAGCACGCCCCAGATGTACTATTTAGCAGTTTAGCACTAAAACAATTAGAATGTTTACAACTGCGCTGTAAGCGCACTATTAGACGCTTCTATTTGACTTTCAGATATGAAGTGCACGCCCCAAAATGTACTATTTAGCAGATTAGCACCCAGAAAATTAGAATTTTTACAACTGCGCTGTAAGCACACTATTAGACGCTTCTATTTGACTCTCAGATATGCAGAGCAGGCCCCAAAATGTACTATTTAGCAGATTAGCAGCAAAACAATTAGAAAGTTTACCACTGCGCTGTAAGCACACTATTAGACACTTGTATTTGACTCTCAGATTTGAAGAGCAGGCCCCAAAATGTACTATTCAGCAGATTAGCAGCAAAACAATTAGAATGTTTGCAACTGCGCTGTAAGCACACTATTAGACACTTCTATTTGACTCTCAGATATGAAGTGCACGCCCCAAAATGTACTATTTAGCAGATTAGCACCCAGAAAATTTGAATTTTTACAACTGCGCTGTAAGCACACTATTAGACGCTTCTATTTGACTCTCAGATATGAAGTGCACGCCCCAAAATTTACTATTTAGCAGATTAGCACCCAGAAAATTAGAAAGTTTACCACTGCGCTGTAAGCACACTATTAGACACTTGTATTTGACTCTCATATTTGAAGAGCAGGCCCCAAAATGTACTATTTAGCAAATTAGCAGCAAAACAATTAGAATGTTTACCACTGCGCTGTAAGCACACTATTAGATGCTTCTATTTGACTCTCAGATATGAAGAGCAAGCCCCAAAATGTACTATTTAGCAGATTAGCAGCAAAACAATTAGAATGTTTACCACTGCGCTGTAAGCGCACTATTAGACGCTTCTATTTGACTCTCAGATATGAAGTGCACCCCACTAAAATACTATTTAGCAGTTTAGCACTCAAAAAAATTTAAGTTTTAAAACTGCAATGTGACAGCAGTATTTGACGGTTCTATTTGACTCTCAGATATGAAGTGCACCCCACTAATGTACTTTTTAGCACCCAAAAAAATTTAAGTTTTAAAACTGCAATGTGACAGCAGTATTTGGCGATTCTATTTGACTCTCAGATATGAAGTGCACCCCCTTAATGTACTATCCCACTAATGTACTATTTAGCACCAAATAAATTTACTTTTTAGTGCACCCCACTAATGTACTAGTTTGCAGAATTCTTTCCTAAGGTGTCCCTCACAGATGCAGCATCCTCTCCCTACATTAATAAGAGCTCATGTGCGTGCGGCGCTACGCGACTCCAGTTTATATATAGAGGCTGGGTCACATAATGCACTGGCCAATCACAGCCATGCCATTACTAGGCATGGCTGTGATGGCTTCTAAGGGCACACGAGTCAAACGCTTGTTAATTGGCTGCCCTGCAGCCTTTGAAAACGCGCCATTAAATCACCAAACACCGAACTCCAACCCAAACATACAGTGATATGTCCGTGTTCGGGTCCGGGGTCCAAAAACAGTCCGGGTTCGCTCAACTCTATATCTGAATACTAAAAAAAATATTTTTGAACATTGTATTTATGGTTATCTATACACAGATTAGGATCTAAGGGTTTAATTACTAGATCCTCTAAGTTGTTGGAAGGAGAGTTGGACGCCCAAAAAATTCCACCCATTGTGAAAAGGGAAAAGGATCTCAATTTATCTTATACCCCTTTTGAATGGTACCAAACTACTATCCAATTAAAAAATATATCCCCTGTATATCTCTTTTAGAATTACATCAGGTTCCTTCTAAGTTACATAAAATATGTGAAGCATATTCACCCTTATGTAAGAGATGTAAAAAAGAGACTGGCACGATACTCCATATATGGTATAGTTGTGAGTTATTAACCCCTTAAGGACACATGACATGTGTGACATGTCATGCTTCCCTTTTATTCCAGAGGTTTGGTCCTTAAGGGGTTAAAGGAAATCAAGGTCCGTATAACCACCTTGATCTCAGATCTAACTCCAGGCACTATAGTACTTACACCTTTTTTTCTATTCAATCTAGTTTTACCAATAATGGAGAAAAAATATAAATATCTAATTACTCATATTCTCTATGTACTTAAGATATCTATAGCTTGTAATTGGAAATCCAGCCAACCTCCATTATGGCAACAAATAATAAATCAAATAGATTATCAATATATAATGGAGAGTAATTTTATAGCTATATCCGGAAAATCTATCTTTTATCGAGACTCATGGAATCCCTGGCTTTTATATAGAAATAAAAAATGTACTCTAGGATAAGGAAGGGAAAAAAGAGAAGAAAAGGGGAAGGAAGAAAAAAAAGGGAAAGAAAGGGAGGAATGGGAAAGGAAAGAAAGAATAGAAAAAAAGAAATAGAAGAAAAAGGGGAAAAGGAAGGGGAAAAAAGAGATAAAAATAGAACCCTTGGATACTTATTCCCCCATACTTAATACCGGCACTGGATACTACAGTCTTTTTTATTTGTGTTTGTTTGTATTGTGTTTGTATCTGCGTTTTTAGTTGCCTCAAAACCATGATATTATCGTGTTGATACTTTTATATTGTCTTATATGTACTTATTATCTCAATTTATCAAATCTTCATGTATAAATGTATCTCATGTTTACTGCTGGCAATGTCATTATAATTGAAAATAAAAATAAAAAGAAGAAATATAAATAAAAAATTTTTTTTAAAAACAAAGACGTGAAATTGATTATTTGTCAGAAGAATGCATATTTATTGTATTGAAACGCAACTGATGAAATACTATATCACTCTATTTTTTTTATTTTGAACAATACATGTATTAACAGGCACTTCTTTTCTTCATCAAAAATTGTAAGCAATGCTGTCTACCTGTACTCTTAAATAAAGAATTTTTAAAAATAATAAAATAATATATTATTTAGTCACAAAACCAAAACTAAAGTTCCAGGTCCTAACCAGGCCAAAGGTGGAGAAGGGTTTAGTAGTACCAGACCTCCACCTATACTGGGCTAAGCAACCCACCCATCCACTATTGGTGCCCCTTTGGAGGTGACTACAGGAAAACTTAAATTGAGGAGTCTTTTGAAGCAGTTTAAACTGGAAGTAAGTATTGCAAGTTAGCATGTACATCTCCCATGTTAAAATTAGTGTAGGACCCACCGATATTGAAGTACTGTGATGTAGTGGTGGACTTAACATGATATGGCCATATGGTGGAACTGAAACCCCATATTTATTTGCTAAGATAGGTGATTTGAAGTAGCCTTGTTTAATATAAAGCTGTATTTTTGTTTGTGTGTGCTCTGTTCCTTTAACTGTATTTTGTATATGTTTTGCGCTTTACGGCAGCGCAACTGCTTGGAAAGGTATGTTCTGGGTGTGCCTCCAATTCCCATATTTTCTCTACCTTTACTACCAGTTTTCCCACCTGCAGCGGGTAAAAATCTAGAACAAAATCAACGGCCCCTTAAATCTTTGCTGTGAATGGACAATGCCACAGGTAGGCAGCTGGTGGCGCAGCAACCCTTTGTCAGCTCCACGTTACATGTTTGGCACACTCTGGCTCCAAGGATGGGCCTTTTCTCATGTGATTATTTTTTTTATTATTATTA